CCACAGACAGCTGGAATGCTCGTTTCCCACAGACAGCTGGAATGCTCGTTTCCCACAGACAGCTGAAATGCTCGTTTCCCACAGACAGCTGGAATGCTCGTTTCCCACAGACAGCTGAAATGCTCGTTTCCCACAGACAGCTGAAATGCTCGTTTCCCACAGACAGCTGAAATGCTCAGAAATACCCATTTATATGAATATGAGACAAGCACCCCCCCACCCACATTACCTGTATAACCTTCAAAGACCATCTACAGAATCAAGATGAGTGACGGGGTAACTAACCATATCCCAGGTGAAGTTGGCCAGCCAGTACAGCAGAGGTTTGACCCCGCAGACAAACTGAAGGTGCTTGGCCTTGCTGACCCTCTCCTCAATGAGGAACAGGACGAAGCTGGCCGGCACAAAGGACATGGCAAACATCACGCAGATAGACACCAGCACGTCCACCGACGTGCTCATCCTGATTGGTGAGGCAAAGAGGTGACGGGTCATGACACGGGCATTCCCCCGCATTCTGAACATGGAGCAATCTTCCAAAGAGCTTTGAAGGGTCTTACTCACATTGCTACCTGAGCCAGTTGCTCTTTGGTGAGGTTGAGTGGGTGGTTGTAGGCCGTTATGCCGTAGCTGCTTCTCTCAGCTCCAGCTGGAAGGCTGGCGCGGAGAAGCCCATTGTTCACGATGTTCACAAAGGTCACCATGGCGTGCCAGCCCTTGTTGTTGAACCACACCTGGACGAGGGAAACAATATGTTTACAGTCAGTGCTAAAAATAGGCAGGGCAGTTTATGAAATCAAACTTAAGTTCGGCTCTTACTCACTTTCACGTGGTTTTCACTGTTCAGTCCATCGAGAAATCCAGGCAGTCTATCTAGCAGTCGGTCCACCGAGCTGTTCTGTGAGTGAGGCAGGATAGGAATAGCAATCTAGCACAGAATTCATGATGAACATGATACAAAGGCTACGTAATTCTCTGGATAGATATATAGGGCAGTCTTGCTTGAACCTCTTCTATTCTGTAGCGGCTCCTTATTGCCAAGACAGATTCCTCCAACTGTTGGCCTTGTGACATAGGCTGGAATCTGCTGTTTCCTAGGGAGAACCCACCGTATCTGCAACATAAACAATGCAACGCACCTTTTAACGTTCTTAATCTTCCGGCAGAGATTAATAAAGCTTTTTAATAGAGACTGAATTGCTCTCTTCTAGTCCACCTCTTTAGTTTACCTGAACTCATTGACCCATTTTTTGGTCTTCAAGCTGAATTGAGAAGAGAAAAAGGTGCAGAGGGATGAGTTTTATACACAGCAAATCTTTCAGAAAAAGTTCCTACGACGAGCTCAGACCTCTTACGCAGAATCTGCGGGTACGTCTTGACAAGGTAGTCAGAGATATTACGCCCGGTCATGTTCTGCAGGATATCTCCAGTGGGTCTCTTGACCTGCGGGAGACAAAAGGTCATTCATGTCAGCAATAGTTTGTCTTTTGGTTGGAAGCCTAATTAACTGGAAATTATTACAATTATTGGGAACAACTCAGAGTATCGATGTACATGAAGGGCTCGTGAAAGTCAAACCCCAAGCAGATTACACACCAAAAGGCACCATATCACCAAATGGCAGCGAAAGACAGGAGAGGTGTGAAGCTGCCGTGTCACCTGGGGAGGGGGCAGCCCCCCAGCACCGTCGGGGCACTCTGCCAGCATCCTGCGGATCTCACTGGTGCTGCACTGGCACTCCAGTGAGGGCTGCTCGCTGCTCCAGTTCCCAGACTCAAAGAGCTTCCATGTTGAGTAAGGTACCTGAGGCGTCCTGAACACAGCGCCCCAGTCCTCTGTGCAGGGGCTCTCCCTGCACTCAGCACAGCGGACAGAGCGACACTGATCACACTGATCACACTACTCCCAGAGAAGAGCAGCATTTAGACGAGTGCTTATAAACAGGATATTTTAGCTCCACTCAATGTTTATGAATGGATTCAAAACATAATCAAACTGAAGAGCAACAGCTTACCCATTAATTTCCATGCACTTGGTCCCAAATCCAGGCCGATCCAACAATGCCTCAAGTAAATTTTCAACGGCGGGTTTCCCAGGGGCATCATTGCTGAATAGGTACATCAAAGGGTTCTCAAAGTCCAGACCGACCCCCCCCTTCAGTGACTGAGAGTCAAAACCATCAGCGAGTGTTAAAAAGTTCTCAGTTTTGTTATATATTGATGACTATATCCAAGGCTATTGTTAATTCCTTAAAGTTCATGAAATGCCGTTTTATTACTGAAACTGGTTCCGGACATCTGAACTTGGAACAAAAATCTAATGCAGACCTTTGATCTAAAAGTTTGGGAACCCCTGCTATAGGCAAACACAAAGAATAACCCTGAATTAATGTGAGGATTCAAGTAATTGAGAGGGAGTCCATACCTAAAAAAGGTGTACTGCTCTCCATACATCCAAGGCTCAAGCTCGAGAGATGGATACTTTCCAAAAGGAGGCACAATCAGGCTGAAGAGGAGGGCGACCAGCACAAACACAGCAGGCAGGATAATCTGGCAAAGGAGTAACAGTGAGGACCTCAGTGAGGACCTCAAGGGGCCCCAGACCTCAAGGGGCCCCAGACCTCAAAATACACAGTGCTGGTTCTGTGAAGCGCTTTGGGTGGCTTCAAAAGCACTACATAAACATAACATTCATTCATTCATTCATTCATTCATTCAGTCTCTGTTCCTTCTCCATGTTGGTGGTTCTGTGGGCGATGATGGCGGCTGTGTACCTGTGCGAAGAGGCCCCGCCGACTGCGGCGGGCGTACAGCCACCTCTTGATGAAGAGCGAGCGCAGCTGCTGCAGCGTCAGAGCCCGCCCAGATGGGGGTGCGCTGCCTCTCCCACCGCCGCTCAGAGGGTCCGTCTCCGCATGATCTGCGCAGCAGAGGGGTGAGCCGGTGTGACAGAAGCTCCCTGCATGGGAGCTCCGCAGCGAAGGTCCCTGCAGCTCTACAGGGTCCAGTTTCAGTGAAAGGAAAGAGAGCAGACATCCGGAAACAAGCCGCATGTCCGGGCACAGAACGTTAATGTCCAGAACGTTACGGTACCTTGACTGTGCGACTGCTTCCTCTCTAGCAGCAGTGCGGACAGACAAAAAAGCAAGTCAGAAAATGCACATGCACATAGATGGAGGACAATCCATGTTCTCGGACTGAACCTGTAACACACCAGTCTGACCAAAGGGCAGGAGGAATGGGAAGAGCTATGCTGCCCCACAAAGGAAAAACACAGCAACTGCATATTTCATCAAGAGGAGCTTTAACACTGCTGAAACCTTTTTCTGGAAGCAGAACCTTTTTCCAGACCTAGGGACTTTTGTCATGTTCACATCACAGGACCTGGGCCCGACTATAGTTCCTTCGAGGCAGTTCCAGAACCCTTTTGTTAGTCCCTACTCCAGACTAGTTATAACACAAACTACCTACTAGGTAGGCACTTACAGCAATAGCTTGCTGATTGGTTGGCGCTTACAGCAATAGCTTGCTGACTGATCGGCGCTTACAGCAATTGCTTTCTGATTGGTTGGCACTTACAGCAATAGCTTGCTGATTGGTTGGCACTTACAGCAATAGCTTGCTGACTGGTTGGCCACAAGCCCTGGCGCTAACTTACATGGAAGTGAATGGAAAAGAGATAGAAGTAGGGGAGCAAAAACTGAGCAAAAAATAATTTTTATACCCCAATTACATTTATTGCATCATCAATTAATACATTTTTTGCTCGCGTCTCTGTTTTTCTGCATCAGACAATTCGATCACTAACAGATATACTTTTGTCTAATATCACCGGTGGTGAAAGTCGCCAGCGCTTATTATCAGGATAACGTTGCATCGTTCTTTATTCTGTGGAAAACAAAAGATCGATCTGCTGGCCAGATTTAATAAGAATCTTGAACATGTTGTGCGTCTTATAAGTAACATATGAATAAAAAGCTGTGTCCAACAACTACCAAAATGACTTATTATCTTGCATTGTTTTGGAGTGGCAGTGAAATTATGTGTGAAGTTTAAGCTACGAGCTTCTCCCGTACTTATTTAGCATAAAGGTCCCAATTCCTGTTCTGCGGTGTGACAGCAGCACATGAAAGTGACCAGGAGCTTCATAAGATCCAGGTCGGGACCAGGTTCAGGAACTCCGATGTGAAAGCGCCTACAGTTGAGTTGCTCAGGCTTGGTTTTCTCTTAAGACAAAATATCTCAGTATACTTATGCACAGTTTGGAAGAAAACGAAGTGTGAAAATTACAATAGCTACAACATCCCCAGTAAAACCACAGCAAAACATCCTTTTTCTGTTTTGCTGTCAGTGCAGTTACAGTGTTTTGCCTTTGAGGGGCAGTACAGCAGAGGGACAGTAAAGGAGTACCAGTCTCTGCCTCCTCTGCCGGCTCCCGATGCTCAGGGCCCGCTTCAGTGTCAGGGTCAGTGTCCACTCCGGTCTCCTCGGCCACTTTCAGGAACACCTGGAAGCGGAGGCAGAAGGCGAGGAGCGTCAAAGGTTCCTGCAGGCCCAGCATAGGCCAAGAAGCAGAAATGCAGCAGCTCCAGGAAACGCCGGCCTGTTATCTGTGCCCCGAATCATCACAGTGCCTTTACTCCCCCAGGTCGGATAAAGCTTGGGCTAACCAGTGCGACACGGACTCTGTCTTGAGATTTCGAGGGGGGAGAGACGCAGGCAGGGCTCTCACCTCCTCCAGCGTGGTGTCCGCCAGGCCGTAGCCGGTGCAGCCCAACTCGCTCAGCCTCCTGTCCAGCTCGGCCAGAAAGGCGGCCAGGCTGCCGTCCTCGGCGGCCGCATGGGGGAAGCTGATCACCGCCTCCCTTCCCACGTCCTCCACCAGCCGCACCTCCGACATGTGCCGCCGTGCCAGAGTCAGCAGAGCTGCCACGCCTGGAGAGCCGCGGGCCAGAAGCACGCATGCCACGTCAGACGGGCAAGACGGAACCTCGCTGATACCGGGGGCACATTCTTGTTGGCTGGCACCATTGCAAAATAACAGCCAGCATAACATTCGCCATCAAAGAAGTAAACAAGTACAAATAAGTGTAATGCAGTGCTGGTGCTACAAGTGAGACGGAAACATGTTGGTAAACATGGAAGGTGGGTAATTTAATGCAGTTGGACGAATGCAGTGAACTGCACTGTGAAGAACTGGGCCTGTGTTATGGAGGCTGGCAGGACTGAACTTAGAGTGGCAGGAGCAACAATGAAGCGCGTGAAGCACCGTGAAGCACCGTGACGCATCGCAGGCAGAAAAAGCTGCAGGCTAAGGTGCTCCTCCATTACTGCAGCTCTCTGCCGAAAGGATGAGCTACATTATTCAGGATGCAGCAGAGACACATCATCCTAAGGCTAGGAGTCACTCCTAGGAGACAAAGGCACTCACCGGAGGCGCTCTCCTCTCCTAGTCCTGTGTCATCGCTCAGGGAGGAGTCATTATCCTGACGCAGAGAGAAGGAGTGAATCGCTGAGGGAGGTTACGTCAGAGATGGATGAGCTTCCCATAGGAAGACGATCTGTCCATATAAGAGCATCAAAGAGAAAACCAAAGCCTTCATCTACCTTGTTGGAGGGGGGGGTCGCCGGCTTGCCAGCCGCACTGGTCCCGTCCCCCACTGGCTCGCCGTCACCTTTGACGACAGTGAGGTAATAGCCGGTGCCCAGACGGGCCTTCAGGAAGATGGAGGAACCACAGCAGCATAACTGTCCCTTAGAGATGATGGCAATCCTGTCCCCTAGGAGGTCGGCCTCATCCATGTAATGGGTGGACAGGATGACGGTGCGGTCTGAGGGCAGAGAAAGAAGGAAAAAACATGAGAGCATCCACTCCTCAGACGGGTGACAAACTCCACGGAGACAGCTGGGACCTGCAGGCACCTCTCAGCTACTTCATGATGTCCATGAGTCTACGCTAAGAGAGATGGTGGCCAGGAAAGGAAGTCATGGGTCTGTGGGCGATCTGCCACCCATGTCTGCTCTGCTAAGCACCACCAAGAATATTCGGCAGCACTAAGAAAACCACGGCTTTTGGACAGATGAGTCAAAAGCTGAAGTTTCTAGTCAATGTGTACAGTGTTAAAACTGGGGAAAGCAAACACTGCAGTCGACCTTCTGGGCATGTGGTTCCCTGACCTTTTCGGTACTTGAGTAGGAGGTCCCAGATGCCCCGACGGGAGTAGGGGTCCACGCCGGCCGTGGGCTCGTCCAGGATCACCACCTTGGAGCCCCCCACGAAAGCGATGGCCACAGACAGCTTCCTCTGCATTCCACCTACACGGTCCGTCATAAATAATTAGAAAAGTATTTATATTTAAAAATAACAATATAAACCATTTATCCATCTGTTGTCTGAGAAAAGGATTACGAAGGGACCAAAGTCTATCACCAGAAGCACATGAGAGCTTTGAGTTATTTACTCAGACTGCAGGTCCCACAGCAATTAAATATCACACCTGAACCCACAAGCTACTGTGTCTTCAAGGTGTCAGAACCCAGTGTGTATTCTGAATGTCAGAAGTACCAGAGAGGTTCTTGGCCGGCTCGTGCCGCTTGTGCTCCAGACCCACGTCCTGCAGGAGCTTGTCCATCTCATTCGCCACTTCTGCTCCTGTCCGGCCTTTCAGGCGCCCGTAGAACCACACGTGTTCCTCCACAGTCAGACTGGGTGTGAGCATGGCACCAGGGCAGTCACATGATCGTAAGGTAGAACCATCCATTCGCCAACCAGCTTAGATCACAGAACATCAGTAGCAAAGGCTTCCCAAGTCAAGGAGGAAGGGTGCTGACTTAATGTCATAGAGGCAATAGTGCTAGGGTTGAAGGTTCGAATCCCAGTAAAAGTGCAAGGGTTGCGGGTTCGAATCCCACCAGTGGGGGCGTGCGTGTTTGTATTAGTTCCCTCCTACTGTCCAGAAAGATGCAGTGATAACACTTCCTATGACTGCCATGTTTAACAATCTATGAATGCATTATATTTATAAAAGGCGTAACACATTACAGCCATGTTTATCATGCATTATGCTATATGAAGCTCTTATCTATAATGCACTATAGATACCTTCATAATGCAGTACAAAGCATCCTTAATGCTTTTGCCAACCATTATAATGCATTAATGAAGGCAACTATAGTGCACTATAGATGAGAGCTTCATTGGAGCTTATGAAGAAGTATTATAACCAACACTATCATGCCTAATGGCTGTCAATAGAAGATGCTGTAATGCTTTATTAATTCTTTTAGTGCTTTTTGAAGATATCGATACTGCACTATGGATGAGAGCTTTAACTGAAGTGCTACCTGTGCACTTAGACAAATACTGCACATACTGCATGTGTGTGTGACCAAAATAAGGACTGAAATTGTGTCCTGGGTGTGTCCCTGCATTGTGTCCTGGGTGTGTCCCTGCACTGCGGTTCCTTCTTTCGGGCCCCAGACTCATGCAGCTCAGTGCCAGCTGACAGGAGACGCAGCGCTTACAGGGTTATACGTGATCTGAGAGTGTCGGAGATACCAGACCTGGTGATGCTGCTCATGATAAGACATGAGGGATATTTAAGATTATGGGGCCACTTAATTCTTACGTGAAATATGGCTGTTAAGCATATATGGTGAAGCCCGCTGGGCGATTTTATGGCTTACATGTCAAAAAGGACGTTATGCTGCGGACAGACGCCGAGGGTCTTGCGGATGGTATCCATGTCCGTGCGAATGTCCATCCCCTGGATGTAGACGGTACCAGCTGTGGGGGGGAACAGGCCAGTAAGGATGGACCTGGACGTGACGAGGAAAAGAATTTCATTAGGTAGAGGTCTGTAAGCCGAGGCTGCGCATGAGGACGTGCGACGCTGTTACGTCTCAGACCCTCACATGGTGGTGGTCTTGCCCGCGCCGTTGTGACCCAGGAAGGAGGTAATCTGTCCTTCGTAGAAGTTGAGATTGAGGTTGTTGACGGCCAGCTTAGCACCTTGCTTGTAAATTTTGACCAGGTTGTGCACGGCCACCCCCAGGGGGAGGTTGGGGGGGTCGTCCTCCACACAAACTGCAACAGCATGAAAAGAGGGGACGGCTTATCAGGGGGCACCAACAGTGGCGGGCAAAGCACCCTGACAGATAAAGAATGAAGAATGAAAGGTCACACAGCAGGGCGCTGAGTCAAGGCCAAAATCGTCCAGACGGCATGAGCCCTGACATTACCCACAAGCCCAAACACCGAACTTCGCCAAACCAACCACTCATCACGTTGTTTTTTATAACCCACTAGTGGAAAAACGCTTAGTCACCTGAGCTTCTTCACAAACTCTGACAAACACTCACTATTCCCCCCATGCAAACACTTGCTACTCATATGCGTCTAAGGTGAACACATATGAGCCGTGGCAGTAAACATATCAGCGTAGAACAGATGATTAACCACAATTCACACTCAGTCAATAATCTTCAAATTAGTTCCCGACAATTGAACATTTCTGGCACAAAAATGTCAAGGAGAGTCATACATGTTGGGCAGCAAGCATACATGTTTAACTGGCACATATTTTTGCTGCATATGACTGGTGTGTCTATTCAGAAAACCCAATACGGCTCACTCACTCTGGGACTCGTCTCTGTGAGGAGGGGGAATGGACATCCTCGTTTCTAGGGGTCTTCCAGCCCAGTAATTTAGCTGGAACATGAAGTTCCAAGGCCTGGGGATCCCAAAGTCCCCTGTGGAGGTAAACGCTTTGGTGTAAAGCTGCATTTCTCTTTGGTAGTTCGGTTTTCACACCATACATGAGATTCGCTCTGCTTACCTGGAAAAACCGCATCAATGTACCATGCAGCAATCCCATATATCAGTGCGTCGATAAACAGGAGAGCGATGGCCGAGCCGAAGTTGTAGGAATCTCCCTCCATCGGGCTGGAGGGCCAGTTGTACCACTGGATGCCTATGCCTTGTTCCTCATACAGGGAAAAATACTCGCAACCAAAACCAAACGCTACTGGAGAAAGCAGGCTCTACAGCGGAGGAGAGAAGTGAGCGAAAACAAAGAAATATCAAACATCCCAGTAGCTGCTCTCTTTTCAAGCAAAAATACAGAGTCACTACATGCAGAAAAGCAGACGTTTTATTTCGGCCATCTTCTGCACGTCTCTCCTACAGAGCTGTCAGACGCGTGCTGGTAATGCGAGGTGCTTCACAAGGGTAATCTGGGAACTCTGGTGTGTAGAAAAGCAATTTGCTTGGCATGGATCACACTGCAGAAGCACAAACCTGCAGCAGTTGGGGCACCTAAGTCTTGACCGAGGGCAGAAGGGCAGACAGAACCCCCCCCCCCACCATAACTACTAAAGGAGCTTGATTCTTCTACTCTTAAATCTCAACAATTCGTTGCCTGTCAGTCTATGATGCAGGTGCTTAAATCTGATGTGTAACCACATTTGGGGAGGAGACTATCAAAATGAACTAACCAAAGTGAATAAACCTCTAGGTGAATTCACATGAAAAAGACCAACTTACAGCCAAGATCTTCAGCTCAATGGTGAGGAGATCCCTCCAGGCAACGCAAAGCACATAAGGCAGGTAGAGGGCGAAGTAGATGAGGCCTCCACAGGCAGCCGCCAGGTTGGCGCGGGAGAAGAAGGTGCTGATCAGGAAGCAGAGCATGATGGTGGCCGTGGCGAAGGCGGTGAGGAAGAAGAGTACCACTGCTGGGTCACTGTAGGGCAGGATGTCCCCCCACTGAGGGTTTGATACAGGATTATATTCAGTCTATCCACATAAATATTTAAACCACAAGGTAACACAACACTGGAATCATGCTGCAGTAGCCTAGCAACCAGAATAAACGGCAAATAGCCGTTAGTCTATGGTGTTTCCACTTTGCTCCCTATCCTTTCTCTGATAGGCTCAGGCCAGGCTCTACAGTTCAAGTGGGGGCCATGGGGGACTAGCTCATCCAATCATGATTGCAGGGGGGACTAGCTCATCCAATCATGAGTGCAGGGGGGACTAGCTCATCCAATCATGAGTGTTGCCCACCCCAATGCTGGGCTAATGCTAAGCATTAAGCATGACGTGAAGCAGGACTTTAAATTTTACACCCACACACCCCCTGACCCCATGAGAAAATCCCGAGTCCCCACATTGTCGAGGCTTAGCCAGGCTGCTTCCGTAAAGCAGTTATGGAAGATGAACAATGACTTGCCTTCAGTAGAGAAACGAGGAGAGCTGCACTGATGACGAAAGGGACAAAGCTACTGATGAACCAGCTGGCCCAGAGAGTGCCGGTGCCCAGACCCATGATTCGCATGGTCTCCTTCAGGCGAGCCTCCTTCTCGTACACCACGCCCTTGATGATCATGGCCACGGAGTAGATCCACGCCAGCGTCATGAAGGGAGGCAGGGAGCGGTTCAGCACCCGGAGGAAGCTGCAGGCCAAAGCATAGTCAGTCCATGTCATAGCGGCACATTGTTTAGGGTCAGGATTGTATTCAGGGCCAATAATCAAGCAATAAGCTGGGGTCAGTGGGGCACTGTGGAATTATGGACGTACACGTCGTCCACGTAGCAGGGGTAGGGCATCTGTTGCACGTAGATGCCGAAGTCCTGCTTTGTGCCACTGAGCATGCGAGAGAGGCTCCGTTCCACCAGATCCTGCACATACACGAAGCCGCCCCAGACGTAGCGCATGTCATCCAGGGGGTCTGCTGCTGGTCCAGGATCCCAGAATCTAAGGGGACAAATGACAATGTCAAATACCCAAGCATTCTTATCTGAAACTATAGTAAAAAAGCTTCAATAGCTGCAGAGGCACAATATGATACAAGTTATACTATAACATACCAGAACATACATAATTTCCAGCATTAAATATCTCCAGCGTAACCAAAGACAGCACATGCAACTTCCAAATGAAAACTAATGCATCAGCAAATTATTTAAATTGTCCCTAATGAGTGACTGTTTGCCCTGTGATGGGCTGGCATCCCGGCTGTGGTGCACCAGGTGCATTCTGGGATAGGCTGCACGCTGCCTGCCACCCTGATCAGGATAAATGTGAGAAAACCAGTTACTGTAAGCCCACAAGTTGCTGGTGGCCCCTTGCAGATGCTTGGGGATCCTCTGTTGGATTGCAGGGTGGCAGAGGGACACCCCCTGGGGTGGCGTACAGGCGGCACATGTAGAAGAGACCATCCACACTGAGGTCATCCACATTGAGACCATCCCATGGTGCTGCTCTGTAGAGCCAAAGCCTCGTAGAAACAGGAAGCAGCAGTCCGCCACAAGGAAGCTGCGATGAGATCACCACCAAGGTTACGGACAGTCCATTTAAGGCATGAGGTCCTCACTTATGTAGACAGCCTCCAGGACTTCATGCTTACAGGACGTGCCACGGTCGTAACAGACCAGCTTGCCAGAATGGTGGACAGGCTGCCAAACCTACTCCATGACAGTGACGGGCCCCTGCCATGTGGTCAGGAATTTGCACGAGGTGTAAGGGATGTGGACCTGTTCACAAGGGTGGAACTCAGAGGGTTGAGAAGACCGGCTGTAGGCCTGCTGTTGCACTTGTTGGGCTTATTGTATGGGCTCTCCGATTTGCGTGACCTACTTGATCCTCTCCTGCACATCCCAGATCTGCTCTACTCCGATGCAGTATGGCGATAGCTGTAGCTCTCAAGCTTCCTTTGTGATGTCAAACAGCCCCAGAGGGGTATGAAGGGTATGAATCTGGTGGAGGCTCATTAGACCTCCTGAACAGGAGACAAACGGCAGCATCAGCTCTCAATTGCAGCTGTCAACAATAACGCCATTTGTTTGGAAGAGGTACAGCTGCCCAGGTCATCAGCCAAGAGATGAATACCATTCCCTAGACAGTGAAGGTGGCCTTTGGGAGGCCCCTACTCTTTGTTCTTCGAAGTGACCCTCTGGAGGAACATCTACCTGGTAAGTCCACAAGAATTAGGATATATTCATGTCCCTGCAGACAGTGTGGAAGGGAGCCTTTGAAGTCAATCCTGACCAACTCAAAGGGCACCTCGAGGATGGGCAGAGGGCACCCAGAGAGTTATTTGTTAGCACATAGGGCACAAGGGCAAACAGCATGCACTACCTCCTAACCCTTTTCCCAGCGCAGACTTTAACCACTGGACTGTAGCATCACAATGTGTGTTATTAATTTAGCTTACCTGTCCTTGATCTTATTGGTGCGGGTAACATCATCTATGTCCATTCGGATTTTGTAGGAGATGTGTGAAGGCAGGGTGGAGGGATCGGGCAGCAGGAACACTATACCAGCCCAAAACTGCCGGCTCTCCAGGAGCTCCAAGGCCTTTTCCACCAGGTCGCCCTCAGAGGCCAGGCCCTCCAGCTTGTTCACGGAGAAGCACTGAGGAGCAATCAGAAGGTACACGCCTCAAAAACAAAACTAAGCCTTAAGTTGACATAAATACAAACACCACAGAATAAGATGAAGGGCAGCAGAGTGACTCAGGTCTCTGAATCCTGATCTGACCTCTGATCAGTGTGTGTGGAGTTTGCATGGCCTTCCTATGCTGCACATGCTGTATGTGTGTGTCTGTAGGTGTGTATGTATGTGTGTGTGTGTGTGTATGTGTGTGTGTGTGTGTGTGTGTGTGTGTGTGTGTGTGTGTGTGTGTGTGTGTGTGTG